TTAAAAGTTCACTGAAGCAGCTTTAATCCATAGTATGAGCTCCACCTTTACTAGAGTGGAAAGCAAAGCTTTGTGGGACATCCTCTTCCACCCTTTTTTCACTCCTGGTAGACTCTCTTCTCATCTTCCCTGAAGGCTGTAGGAGCAACTGGAATAGAAGAAGAGCAGGAGGCAGCACATGGCACGCTAAAACATGGCCTGATAACTTTATTCCAATAGCTAGTGATTTATTCTGCTTGGGGAGAGTTCTGTAGTGTTTTACTGACAAAAAGTGACCTCAGTATGCTGGAATTTTTGATACATTCATTTTTAAGTGGAGTTTTATATTTTAGGCATTTTCATCTCAGACATTACGTTAACACTTCAGAAATAACCATGTTCTGACTTGAATGCATTGAGTTAAGGCAAAGAATGTTCTTTCACAATATCATGCTATAATTACTTTGTTAATACAACAAATGTAAATAATTACCAATATTATTGATCATCTAGTTAGCACCAGGGAAAAACAGATAAATGTAAAGACCATGTCTGGTCACCAGTTGCCTCTCTGGTGAGTGTCATTAGTTAGGCTGAAATGTCCTATCCAGATCCAACTTTAAAAAATGCTGTTAGCCTTCTTGAAGTTTTTTTATTACTGTAGCATCACCAGGTCCTATGGTATTACTGCTGGATGTTTGTCTTTTTCCCAAGGAGGTTAGCAGGATACTTTTTTTGGACATTAATTGCAATTTTCTGATTGTGGTTTGGGTGCAGAAAGAGTGCTAGCCTATGTACCAGAACCATACAGGGGTATTTGCCGTGAGAACAGCTCCACGTAGCAATGTGTTTGCAATATCTTTCTAATGGGATGTGAGTTCTTCAGAATATAGAAATGTGTTGCTTCCTGTGAGGAAGCACTTACAGTTCTGGTTCACAGAAGTCTCCCCCCAAACAACACTTTCTGGTATTTTTATCCTGCTGCTTCTATGCGCTGCTTTCTGTACTTAAAGCATAGGGATCATCCATAACACTGGCGCTCCCAGCAATGAAAAATCAGGAGTCAATCTTCAGTCATCCCCGGGCTGATTTCAGGGCGACCAAATCACCAGGTAGTTACATTACAATAGTAACGTTTCAAAAAGTGATGAGCTGCCTATCTTATATCCTCCTCAGGAAAAGTGTTTGGGGGCTTTGATTACCAGGGTCTCACTGAGATCAGTGGTAACAGTTTTCTGGACTTTGGTAGTATCTCCAATCCATGATTTTTCAAGTATAAAACAAGTGGAAGGTATAAAACAGCATTTTTGCAGCATAGCATTGCATTCAGTTATGAAACAGCTTGACTGATTTTTTTAATCTATTCAGCTCTACTGGTACTTAACATACTGAAATTTATCTGGTTCATCCTTAATTTTAATTTCTCTAATGTCTCTTTACTTCTGAAAATTTTTGTGTGCACTTCTGTGCAACCAAAGGCATTAATGCCACCTGCAAAATATGTGGTGCTTAAAACGAGGTATGAAGATGCTAATTCCAACAGGGTTGGTAGAAGTTCCCATGAACTACATTGAGATCGGGATTTCATTTACTGCATTGCTTACCACATAATGCATAACTACTCATTATGTGCTGGGAAGATGTCACAAATCCCAAGTCACTTAATATATTTTTTATTTTTAAATAAGATTTGTCTTTTGACAATCACTTTGATATCTGTTCTTAAAACTACCTCTTGTGGGTAGAAAAATAATACTTCTTATTTCAATTACATTTTGGTAATAGTATGATTTTCTGCCAGTAATTCCATATTTTTGCAAATATGAATTTATGTACTTGAAATTCCTTCTTTCGTTTCTGTGTCTGGAGGCTGTCTATGTGGCTTTCAATTTATGGGCCATGTTGAATATAGAATATGGAATACAACCACATGCATGTATAGACCATGTGTATTGAGTTTCTGTCTAATCTTCCCATTTACTGTAGCTATGGATTCTCTACCACTCTCAAGAGAAAAAAATTACTGAATATGAAACCTTAAGACAAGGGCCAGTGAGTTTGAAAGATTTTGTAGCTGGATCAGCAGCACACTCTGTACTTCAGGCACCAATCTAAAAGTGAAAGCAGAATTGCAGTCAATTAAGGAGTAATCATTGGACTGCCCAGAAAATGCAGCCCCTCTTCAGTGCCTCTTAAAGGGTTTCAGTCCCAGATGCAGTGTTTTGACTTATTGGCAACTGCAAAAGAAAACAAGGAGATGTGATTATTTTTTTTTTGGTTTCTATCAGTGTGCTCAGCTTTGATTACCATGGAAGATAGACTCTTATTCCAAGACATTTACAGTCTAAGATCAGATTTTGGCACCCTTGCTCATACTGAATAGCATTAGTCGGGGCTGAGCTGCTGCTCATTCAGGTCAGATAGGTCAGCATTAGTCATCAGTTGACACGGTGGTATTTGCAGAGAGCCATGACGGTGATTCAAACGTCTTTCCATAAGGCAGTGATGTAAATGTTTTTCTGTTGCTTTTATCTGTTTATCTGTACCTCTCTTTTGTAGGACTATCATAAAAAAGCCTTTGGTTAAAAAAAGTGCTTTAAGAAGGAAAATGATTGAATGAAACCCTTTTGGCACACAAGAAACAAATCCAAAAGGTTGGCAGGTTTTCACTGGACTGCCAATAGATGAGCAATGATTAGTTTGCCTTTTTAAAATGTTGTCTGCTGCCAACCCCAAATCCCCTTCTCGCATTTCCAGCACAGCATTCAGCCTGAGGAATAAGTGGATGATGAGGTACACAGTTGTGGTGTGGAAGGGTTTCAAACAATGTGAAGGAGATTTTGATCTTCTGGGACTTCTGTGATACAGAGAGGGAAGAGGAGGAAAGACAAACTGGTCTTCATTTGCAGAAAAGGCTTTCATCTCTTCTGTGTTGTGTGGCTATGGCTGAGGAGAGAGGAGGGGAGTTGTCTTCCTGCTTATATCAAATTGCCAGGCCTTTAATTTTGACCAGATGCACCATGCAATTATGGCAGCTGATGGATAGTTATAAATGAATTAGTCCTTGGCAAACCAAACTTTATTTCAAGGAAGATCAGCATCACAGAAGATACAGGAAATCAAATTTTGTGATGGGGTCAGTGCATTTTTTAAATGCGCAGATTTCTTGGCAGAATAAAAGGACGCATTAGTGCAAAGAGGCAAAGTATCCCAATTTCTAAGCGTACCTCTGGAACAGATGCCTTGCTGCTCTTCCCACAGAGCAAGGAGGACTAAATACCAATGGGCAGTCCAAACCTTGCCTCTGTTTGCTGAACTTGCCTTTTTGCCATGGTTCGTATTGGGATTATAGGTAGCGTTCCTGTCACTGCAGCCGCGCTCCCCACGCTAATTGTCATGAAGTGCAGAAGGTTCAAGCACGCTTGGTTCCCAAGGCTGCTAATGAGCCCTGAGCTCTCCTCACCCTTAATGAACCAAGGTTTTTTTGTGGGGGATTCTTGTCCGTCCCTCCTTTTCCCTGGTCAGGGGAGGAGGCAAGAGTTCACACAACCGAACAATGACTTTACAGTGTAAAGACGATGCAGCTGTGCCATCTGAAGCCATCCTCAGTTATGAGCAACAAAGCTTAAATAGATTGTACTGTGAAGAGGTACAGCTCTGTGAGTGCGAAGCATAGCCTTTGCTTCTGCTTCACTGACCTGTCTGCCTGCGGCAGCGACGGGCCCCTGACGGGAGCTTAGGCAGGGAGAGCTGAGTGGGGCGACTCTTTCAAAACCACTCTCCGTAACACCGAGCGCAGGAAAGGAAGCAAAATGAAGTTTCAGTTGATCTCCGACGGGGGTGTACCGCGGCGTTCTGCAGAAAATCCCATGCCCTCCATTTAAAAGTCATTGGTTCCTAATCCACTTCGGGTGATTAATAAGGCCACTAAAGCAAGCCTTTAATGAAAAGCCTTAATGAAAAAGTTCATAAGTGTTAGCAGTAGAGAGTACTCCCACAAAAGTGGATGCGCACACCCAGAGACACAAACTCCTCCAAGGCAAATCACACATTTCGCTATCTCACTACATTTCAATATCTTACTCTCTAGGGGCTCTTCTTGTACCAGAGGTCAGGATCATCAGAAATTTGGGCTAAACTACTGTTTATCATTTACTTCACCCACCTTCCTTTAGGCATTTCAGCTACAATACTGTGTGATCCTCTAGCTATATTTATCTTACTAAAACCATGGATGTGATATATTTTGGGGCATGTGTGTACAAGTACATATAGATACAGTTGCCTATGGTCTTGAAATGCATAGGAGTATATTAGTATGTGAGATATATATATATCATACATACATATTATATGTAAAATATCACATGCTTTCCTCAAAACATTATTCCCTGTATGTATTCAGATATATCTTTACACAAGTAAACACAGACATGTACTCCAAATGCTGTGCTATTTCTGTAATAGCAAATCTGATAAAATATCTCAACTGTAGTAGTGATTGTAAGGTTATCAGTTATAATACTCTGGACTAATCCTTACACAATGCTATACAAAGGTGAAGTTTTTTTAAAAAGTTTTACTACTAGATGAGTGAAGCCAAAAGCAGCATCTGCAGAAGAAATCTAATTTTGCTGTAATAGGCCATTTAAAGGTCATCATTTGGGGTTTTAATAATGCACAGAAACATCTGCTGTTTTCCTCGATTGTATGAGAGAAAAAGGGAAGGAGAAAGAAATGAAGAAGGAGCTTTTGGTTTGCATTCGTAAGTGAACAGAGAGGGGGAAAAAATAAAGCAGTTTTAAATACCTTGATGTGTGCGTGTGCAGGTTCAAAACTTTAGATTGCTCTCCTGCCCGGCGTGGTGTGTTGATAGCCCTGAGAGCAGTGGCGAAAGTTGACAACCCCCCACGGCTGACCCCTCATGTTCTCTCTCGCCTAATCGAATTTTACGTGTGTTTCCAGATAGCTGATCAGCTTCCCTGGATTTCGCTGACGCTACAGGAAAGCTTTGCCTGAAGATGGAAACACTGGAGTCGGAACTGACCTGCCCTATCTGTCTGGAGCTGTTTGAAGACCCGCTGCTGCTGCCTTGCGCTCACAGCCTCTGCTTCAACTGCGCACACCGCATCCTGGTCTCCCACTGCGCCACCAACGAGCCAGTGGAGTCTATCACCGCCTTCCAGTGCCCGACCTGCCGCTATGTCATCACCCTCAGCCAGCGCGGTCTAGACGGGCTCAAGCGCAACGTCACCCTGCAGAACATCATCGACAGGTTTCAGAAAGCCTCGGTCAGCGGGCCTAATTCCCCCAGCGAGACCCGCCGGGAGCGGGCGTTCGATAGCAACAGCATGTCGTCCTGCGAGAAGGTCCTCTGCCAGTTCTGCGACCAGGACCCTGCCCAGGAGGCGGTGAAAACCTGCGTTACCTGCGAGGTGTCCTACTGCGAGGAGTGCCTGAAAGCCACTCACCCCAATAAGAAGCCGTTCACCGGCCACCGTCTCATCGAGCCCATCCCGGACTCTCACATTAGGGGATTAATGTGCTTGGAGCATGAGGATGAGAAAGTTAACATGTACTGTGTGACCGATGACCAGTTGATCTGTGCCTTGTGTAAACTGGTCGGGCGACACCGTGACCATCAGGTGGCAGCTTTAAGCGAGCGCTATGACAAGCTAAAGGTTAGTGCTACCTATCGTCCTTTCTAGCCAAGCAGCATGTGGTTGGGAAGGAGCGCGCCCTTTGCCTGCATGCTAAATTCCTCATTTGGGCAGGGGTTGGGAAAGGTAGGTGCGTGGTCTCTAATAGGACAAGATACACATACCAATCTGTACGTGCGTTTGATCATCACCATTTAAAAGGAGTCAGGTTTTCCTTAAGGAAAGATTCCTCAGTTGTGCTTTGATTTCTTTATAGCCATCATAAGGAATATGCAGCATATACTACTCTTTAGATGAATTTTCTTACCTACCTCCAGCTTTATTCGTGGCAGCTGCCAAGGTTTAGTGCTGACTGCGCATACACAGGCGCTGATTGAAATGACAGGCATTCTTTGCGTACACACTGCTGTTGATGATTTTTCATTTGGTTGCTTTCGTTGTGGAAAGCCCTTCCCATCGCTGCTAACAGGAGATGCATTTATCCATGCCGGCTTCAGGGATGCCAGCTGCCCATCCAGCCAGGGAAACCAAATGCCGGCTCTGCTCTTCCCGTGCTGCCTCCCATGGGGGCTCGCAGGCGGTGCAGTCCTGGAAACAAAACCAATATTGTTTCTGAGCTTCTTGTGGCATTTCCATGGTTTGGTGAGCTCCCAGCACACCTCCTGCCAGGTAGCAGGGCAGCTCCGGCAGCCCGCTGGCCCCGTGCAGGACACCCTGGGTGGGGTGGCAGTGGGCAACCAGGTCTCAGGGTGCTCTGGGGGCTCTCCAGGCTGCTGGTGGAGGCAGAGCTCCTGCTGA